AAAGCTACATTTGTATTATTCCTTCAAATCTCCCTCCCCCTCAACTTCCATTTTACCAAGCCCCTCTTTATAGGCACCTGTTAAATCAACTTTTTTTTTTCATTAGAGACTGCTCCCACATACCCAATAAACTTCTCCTGACACCAACAAGCCTCAGGATTTATCTTGCACTGGGGATTTGTGCCTTCTGAGACCCAATGACGAATAACTCCATTGCCTCAATTTTGGCAGTGGGATCCACTCAGTGCTGATTCTCCTGACCCACCTCATCTGTCACAGACCCAGGTGCTGGTTTACTTCAGGAAAAGGAGAGAGAGATATTACTGAAAAGGGGCTTTTAGACACTCTTTGATATTTGAGATTTTACACGTTATCAGATTATCGGGTTACCAGTTTAGATTGTTATATTTTGTTCTTGTCCTTAATTCCAGTGATGTCTTTAATGTATTCCTTAAATCATCTCACTAAGTAGCAAGGTGATAGAAGAACAAAACCCAGTTATGAAAACAAACAACAACAACAAATAATAATAAATGGGGAGGGGTAGTAATCAAGATTCTAAAATACAAATTTATAATAGGAAAGAAGAAATATGTTTCTGGGTGAAAAATTACACAGACATTCTTTGTGCGTGTGTGTGCACGTGCACGCACATATGTGTACACAGTGAGTTAGAATTCAGGACATATTTAGAATCATTTTTAAAATTTGGGGGGTTTTGGTCCAGATTTGGTCCAGATTTGTGGTTTCCGAGGAGTGGGTAACTCCTAGTGTGAGAAAACTATCCACCAAGAACTCATTGCGCCTTAGCGTTCTAGATAGCTACTTGGGACAAGAAAAGGTTGAGTGATTCATTTATTGTCATACAGCCAGTAGTATCAGGGATAGCACTTGACCTTAAACCCAGGTCTTCCTGACTCTAAGGCTAGACTTTTACTCACTAGATCATCATCATCATCATCATCATCATCATCATCATCATCATCATCATCATCATCACAATAGCAATAATAATAATAATAAACAAACAAAAAACCATACAATCATAATTTTGAATGTTTCTGTGCTTTTTCCTTGGCTCTGGTCTAATCCCAGAATGTCTTCCTTCCTAACCTGTGCCTAATGGCTTCCCTGGTTTCCTTAATGACTTAGTTCAAATCTAACATTCTACAAAAGGCTTTCTCTTATCCTTCTTCCTCTTCCTCCTCCCCCTCCTCCTCCTCCTCCCACTGAGAGTGTCTTCACTCTGGGATTACCTCCCAATTACACTGTATACACTTATATCTATATAACCCTTTGCACATTGTCTCTTCCATTAGAATGTGAGCTCCCTGCTGACAAGAGCTTTTCTTTTTTCCTTTTTCTTTTCTTTTCTTTTTTTATCCTTAGTGCTTAAACCACTTAAAAAAAATGATTGTTGACTCACAAGGACTTTAGAAGCCAGAATCAAACCCATACCATAAATATGAATTTCCCTCTGCAACATCCCTGAAAGGATATTCAGCTTCTGTTATTCAGACAATAAGAAGTACATTATCTCAAAGCAGCCCATTACATTTTGGGACAATTCTGATGACTGATAAGTTGGAGTTGGTCCTTTTTGTTAGCTGAAATCAGCATAAGTATAATGTCTACTCACTGGTCCTATGTCTGCCCTCTGAGGCCAATAGGAATAAATACAATTCCTCTTCCATATTACAGACTTAGATATAAGACAGCAATCACATCCTCTCATGTCTTCCCTTCTCTAGACTAGATATTTCTGATTTCATCAAAAGTCCTTCAAATAGTGAGTTTTTAAATTTTCTCCTTGTACTGGTCTCTCCTCTTCTGGACATGTTCAGTCTATAAAGTCTCCCTTTTAAAATATAGTTCTTGGAAGTGAATGTAGTACTCAATAACTGGGTAGACTGAGGCTGATTACAACTGTCACCTCCCTTTGTGGACATTCTGCTACTATTAATGTAATCTAAGATTTCACTAGTTTAAAGGGCAGCCAAATCATCATTTTGACTCAGTCTGAAATAAAAGTTAACCAAAAGGGCCCCACCTCCCCACTGGCCCGGGAACAGCACATGGTCTGGCCACATCTCCTCCATTATGCCCTTAAGGAATTGATTTTTTGAAATTAAGTTCAGGAATTTATATTCATTCTTGTTAAATTTCATCTTGTTGGATTAAGGATCTTTTTTTGGACATTGATTCTGGTATCCAGTGGATTGTAGGATTCTTTCCAAATGTGGGCTGACTGATTTTGTGTATTCATGATATTAGTTCACTTGAGAGCAGCTCACTGACATTACCAAAGTGATCTTGCTTATGATCAGGGAGTAGCCAAAGTCCTTAGAGCATCTGAGAGAACCCTAATAAATCTTCACACTACGTAATTAATAGTATTTTAACTTTCCATTTCCTTTTTTTTCCTCAACTCGATTGATTGGGAGAAATAATCCCCAAATTAGAATGCCTACTTGTTTCTTCACTTTGTTTTGAGTGTGTCCCTCTGGGTACAAAATACATATTTCATGGTGATAAATTCACACTATAAGTAGAGAAATTGTACACAAATATACTGCTATGTCAACTTTATTGATTTCCTCAAGATTGTAAAGACCTTCATTGTCCTACAATGTTTCTCCTATCTATCTTCATCACAAAAATGACCCTGAAAGCCTTATTCATCAGCAGAGGAAGAAATTCTTCCTCTTGGGCTCATCTTACGTATTGTGATTTCAATGGCCTGAGACCACCTCTGCTTCTGGGAAGGGAGTGGCCCAGAACAATACGTCCTCTCTAGGAGCTGATTCTCTGAAAGCTGGAAACTACCAAGCCTTGAGAACAGCTAAAATTCAATGATAAATGCCTTTTTTTCTCCCTTCCCCAGTTAATCATGGAAAGCTCAAAAACCTGATCAATTCTGCTATGTAGCTAAACCAAATACAATCCAAACCAGTCAGCTATGCTATTCCCTAAGAAACACAATAAATCCTGGTCAGGTCATAGAAAGGGAAGGTGGGGCTGCATTTACTAGTTTTATCCTATTTATCTTCTATCCAAGTAAGCCATAAATCCAAAGGCTACAATGAAAATCACAAAGAAAATTACCATGATAGTCAATGCGACTATTAGGGTAGTTTCATAAACACAAGATTTGAGACCATATATTTCTAAATTTCACTTACCTTTCCCTCATGCATTAACATTCCAAAAGAAATTTCCCAGCTTCTCTAGAGCCTAGTAGTTGAGTATCTAAAGACAAAAATTGTCTTTGCTAACCTAAAGGAGGTCTTCAATTTACGGATAAATTAGAATGAGTAATTAATGTGGGGTGATGATCAATTCATAGATGATATATTTCTAACCTGTCAAGAGAAAGTTAATTTTGTCTGAAGCACATCCCTAAATTTAGCAGATTATCATCATGGAATGCAGCTCCCATGATTTCTTTCTTTCTTTTTTTTTTTTTGTTTGTTTTCTGTTTTTAGGCAATTGGGGTTAAGTGACTTGCCCAGGGTCACACAGCTAGTAAGTGTCAAGTATTTGATCTGAGGCCAGATTTGAACTCAGGTCCTTCTGACTTCAGGGCTGGTGCTCTATCTACTGAGCCACCTAGCTGCCCCCCCACCATGATTTCTTACAAACAGCAATGACAACAACAACAACAACAAAGTATTAGATGCTTCTGTGAGAATAAAACAATGAGTCTCATTGACTTGACCCAGTTTTAAATACTATTTCTTTTCTTAAAGAGATAGAATGACATAATGGATAGAGAAATGGTCACAAAACCAAGAGGGCCTGTATTTAAGTCTTGCCTCTGAGAAATACTGGCTATGTGACCCTGGACAAGGCATTACCCTTTAGCGCTTTAAGCCTATCTCTAAGACTCTAAGTTGCAGAGAAGGCGCTGATTCACATTACTCACATTTCACATTCACAAACATGAGTTTGCTCCCCTGGGAGATCCCTATGCTAGTGAAATCACAATGCCATACCTTAGCCTTTTATTTAATGACATTTATCAGTACAGAAAAAAAAATTCTGTGGCTCAAATTTCATAATGTTAGTTTATCCTAAAACTGGAAAGCTGCACCCCATGCCTCCAACCATCAATTCCTACCCTCAGTCAAGTAGACTTCTGTGATATGAGGGGCAATGACATGGAAGAAATACTTCACTTGTTCCACTTAACCAAGAGAGCAGAATAAAGAGAAAAAGGTAGAACTTGCAAAGAGAAAAAATTTAGGCTACATGTCAGGAAAAATGGAAAAATTAGACCCCTTAAAAAATAAAATGAAATGACTTAAGAGTTTTCAGTTCTCTCAATGGAGTCTTTCAGACAAAATCTGGATGTGCCTGAGTTCAACCTGATAGATAGCCTCTGACTTCCCTTCTAACTCAGAGATTCTTTGATTTAAAAACCTAGATCTCCTTGAGACAAGAACTGCTGCGAAGTATATATGTGCACTCTCTGACACGTACATAGGCTATAAAAATGAAATCACTCTTTCAATGGAGCTCCCATACTTTGATCTAAGTGTCCAAGCTGAACAAAGTTTAGATAAGAAAGCCCAAACCTGCCCTGGGATAATGCATCCACTTAAATTCTTATTAAACTATTTATTCCATGTTAGGGAAGATGCAGGGGCATCTGATGAGAAGCACTCACATCTTCTTCGCTGAGCCTTGTCAGGTCTCATTATTATCTTTGTGACTAACTATCCTAAGTTCTGAGAAGAGAAACATAAGCACCACACTCCCGGAGATTCACTCCCTGCTGCTGCCTTTCTGAAATGGTAATGATTCACCCATTCCCTTGTCCTCCAACAGTCTCAGCCGCTGATAGAAAAATTATTTTGTGTCAGATATTTTTTACATTGTCTTTGCATGTCTAATTCCCAGGTTCGCCATAATGGATTTTTAGGAAGCTAGGAAGATTAGCCAGCCAAGACGGGAGTCATATCATAAATAAGGAACAATCTGAAAATATAGTCTCTTACCTTGCGTTTATTGGTAGGGCAGACATAAAGATAGCTCAAAATTGTCTTCAGACCAACTTTATCATTCAATTTCTCGTAGGTTGTCCCATAATCTGTTGACCTATAATTCAAAGGGAGCATTAATGAGTGCAGAAGCTCACGTCATTTGGTTGCTTGTCAATGTAATGCATGTTTTACATAGCCGGATGGCTCTCAAGAGGTTTCTGAATGATTCATGTGGTATATAATAATGTTTAATTATGTACACAGTAGCATCATGTGAGTGGTTAACATTTGCATTTAAATTGGATTGGTAAAAATTAAAACTCAATCTTTCTACTGCTCTTTAATGTATCCCTATAGCATAAAGAATGTGATTAATTCAAAAGGAAAAAGAGCTTGGCTTGTCCATTGTATTTGCTAAAAATCAGATGTGATCCTTGATTACTGTGTTGGAGAGAGATGGTATACTCTTCTGTATCTTTAGAACCCTTTGAGAGATGGTTCTTTGGGCTAATAGACAAGTCAGTTACTTAAGTTGTTTATCCACTATTGAATTACAGAGAATACATAGGGTCAGGATCTCTAAAGGTCACATAGTCCATTTCAACCACAATGAGCTAGAAGAGCTCCCACAGGTCATCTAGTTTGACCCTGTCATTTTGCAGATGATGAAACTGAGACACAGAAGGAAATCACTTCCATAGGGCACATAGGTAGTAACTGACATCCATCCCAATTCCAGAGGTATGTCTATCTGGACAATAAGAGAGATTTCAAAAATCTTCCTCAGTAACCTGTTCATTTGTTTTGTTTTGTTTTAAAATCCTTTTAGTTGGAAGATTTTTCTTGATTATCAGTTTATTCTTTTTTTATGTCTAATATAATGGAATATTGAGCTAGAAAGGCCTTTAGCCATCATCTCATCCTACTTTCATTTTGCAGATGAGAAAACTTAATCTCCAAGAGGTTAGTGATTTGTTCAAGATCACATATGGTGAGGAAAGATTTGAACCTATATCATCTGACTCCAAATTTAGCTTTCTTTGCATGACACCTTAAAGAATATTTCTGAGTTGCCCTAAGTGGGGATGAAAAATTATTGGCCAGCATCTGCTTTATTCTTAAGGACTTATACTTACATTCTTGGGCTAAATAGTCTCCATTCCTCAAAGAAATATATTTGGTTAAGTTAGCAAGAGACTAATGACAAACAGTGATACCCATTATCCTAAAGAAGTCTTTGTATATCTGAAAGATTGTCCTATCCAAGTGAGATTAGACTTTAAGCTGCTTTCCACAAAAAGAAGTAGTAGGAAAAAAAGATGAAATTGAAGAATGACAGATTTAGGCTTAATAGAATGAAAAATTTCCTAACAATCAGGGCTGAAAAAGTTGAAAGGGGTTATTTCAGGGGGTAGTGAGTTCCACCACACTGGACATTTTCACACAGAGACTGGATAGCCATTTATCATTCCTATTAGAGAAGATTCAGGCTGAGCTAATTGGGTTTGGAAGTCCTTCCAACTCTGAGATTTTGTGATTCCATCATCATAGACTGAAGCAGTTCAGGAAGGCCTAACAAAAGTCATGGTACTAGATCTAAAACTCTAAAGACCCATGGGTATGTGTAGCACATTTCATTTGGGAGTGTTATCAGGGAATTTGGGCAGTTAGGTGACTCAGTGGATAGGTCACTGGGCTCAGAATCAAGAAGACATCTTCCTGAGTTCAAATCCAGACCCAGACACTTACTAGCTATGTGACCTTGGGCAAGTCACTTAACCCTGTTTTCCTCTTTTTCCTCAACTGTAAAATGAGTTGTAGAAGGAAATGGCAAACCATTCCAACATCTTTGCAAAAACAAAAAGAAAAACAAATAAAAAATGAAACAAACAAAAAACAAAGAAAAAAAAACCCAAATAGGATCACAAAGAGTTGGAAAACACTGAAAAATGACTGAATGACAACAACAACAAAAAACCAGGGAATTTATTTTACTGTATTTTTAAAAGTAAACATTTTTTGAATATTCAACTATAAAGGACATATTTATTATTAAAGATATGAAAACTTAGCTAATATTAAACCAAATACCGTATTTTCTAAATTCTCCCTCATCCAACCAACCCTCCCTCCATCCATTATCAAATCCTGTCATCTCTATCTTCACAACATCTTCTATCTACTGCTACAGGCACCACCCAAGTCCAGACCCTTATCCCTTCTCACCCTAATTGGTCTCCTGACCTCCCTCCATCCTCATTTCTGCCCTTAAAGTTTTTGTTTTTGTTTTTGTTTTGTTTTGTTTTGTTTTGTTTGTTTGTTCATTTGTTTGTTTTGTTTTCCCCTCAAGTATGAATCTGATCATGTCACCTCCTTCCTCAGTAAACTCCAGTGGGTCCTTCTTACTCTAAGAATCAAGTATAGATGTCCTCTGGTGTTTGAAGCTCTTTACACACTGGTCCTTTCCTATATTTTCAGTTTTCTTATATTTTACTCTCTTTCAATGAACTCTATTATCTAGTTACACAGGCCTCCTTGGTGTTCCTCACACACAACACCCCATTTCCCATCTCTGTGCCTTTGTATTGACCATTTCCCTTTCCTCAAATGCTCTCCCTCCTCACCTCTGCTTCTTAAGTTTCTATGGCTTCCTACAAGACCTAGCTGAAATACCATCTTCTAGCTGTTAGTTCTTTCCCTTTAAAAGTTATTGTCCACCTACTTTATCTTAAATTATTTTGTCTTCCACATTACAATGTGAACTTACTGAGGGAAGAGATTGGATTTTTGCCTTGCTTTATATCTCCAGCACTTAGCATAGTGCTTCTTACATAGGAAATACCCACTAGAAGTTTGTTGACCAATTTACTGAGTGTATCAATAAAACTTAAAAGGTTTTTTTTTTTTTGGTCATTTTAGGGGGACCAGGAGGAGATAGAATGGAGAGGCTAGAAACACACAGCCTAACCTGTATGCATTCCCATGAGTAAGAAACAGATTAGCAGAGAGAAGAAAGACCTTCTCTGAAGGAGGAATGCCATAAATATACATATGAGAATAAGCATGGCATATTCAGACATAGTGAAGAAACCAGTCTGGCCTGGCACAAGGACCAAAAGTAATGAGAAGTAATGGAAGATGAGTTTCAGACAGAACTCTTGTGGCTGAAGCATTTGTCTTAAATGTTGTGTTTTCTATATTCTTTATCTCTTCTTTTTTATTTTGATTTTGGGCTTTATTATTATTTTTTTTAATCTTCACCTGTTCTTGGAAAGCACAACTAAATTACTGACCTAATTTACATTACTGCCTTTGTGCTAACATCATATGACTATATTTCTCTTCCTTATGACATTATGTATCTATGAATCCTGTCCTGAGAATGTCTCTTTCATTAGCCTTTATGTGATCATTGAAGTCTTGGTATCTCAACAGCCTGAAAATGACAATACAAGACATGAATTGTGGGGAATCATTGTGCCTGCTGAAGGTACCATTTGGCTCTACCTCAGCAATGAACAAACATCAAAAAACAAAGGCAGACAAATAAAATTTAAAAGCACTAACACACTTGGAATTGAGCTAGGTAGATAAATGTATCAAATATTTTAAAATGTTTCCCGCTGTCAAGGACCTAGTCTTTGTCACCTTTGAGAGGCAATATGTAAATAAGTGGACATTGAATCAGACTCAACCCCAGAGCTTCAGTTTTTCCAACTTTTGGGGAAAAGGGAAGGGGAAAGAAAGGGAATAAACTTTCATATAATGCCTACTATAAGCCAGGCACTGTGCTAAGAACTTTACAAATATTATCTCATTGAATCCTCGCAATAACCTTGTGAGGTAGATTCTATTAACTGCATTTTACAACTAGAGAAAATGAATCAAACAGAGGTTATGTGCTTTTGCTCAGGGTCACATATCTAATAAGTGTCTGAGGCCAGATTTGAATTCCTGTTTTCCTAACTCCTATATCTGTGTTCTATCCATTGTACTACCTACTATCTTACATCTTTATATCTATAAAACTCTGATAATACTTGTCCTCAGATGCTTAACTACCATGGGGAAAATGCTGTTTTGCCCCAATGTGCTAAGACACTTTCACGTGGGGAATACCATCCTTAGGTCTCACCTCATGGTCTTTCTATTGGAATATGCATCCATGCATCAAAACCAGCCTATGGAGTCCCTCCTCCCATCCTGTTCCCATAGTGGCCCTCTTGCAGAATCATCCTCCTCCTCATCTCAGGGGTTGGGGAAAAAGCAAAGATCAAACTATCCCTCGAATGGGTGACACCCTTTCCCATTATAATTACACCTGTGGTCAGACTATTCTTTGCACGTCACCACTATGACCAGCCTCTCTCTCAAGATGAAAACATTCTTCCTTATAGCTTTGTTTGCTCTCTCTACCTCATAGTGTAGTTGGAAGGAAAATCATTATAAATGTCGTAAATTTGTCATGGCAACAGTCATCATTACCTGGTTGGTATAATTTGGTCATCCTCTACCCTTACTGGTGCCTAGCACAGTGCCTCCATTACTGAACTGAATCAAATAAGAATTTACAATTCACAAACAAAGACACTTAGGAATTGGTCCTTAAGCTGCCAGCTGTCATAAAGAAGAAAAAAGGAACAAAGTATTGAAAACATATATAATGATACACACACACACACACACACACACACGTACGCATATATTCCCACTGTAACACAAGCCTTCTTGAATTCTAAATTTGTACCATTTTTCAACATTCTGAAGCAATTTTTTTGTTGTTGTTTCAGGCTTTATTTACAGGTCGAATTATCTACAGAAGGAAAAATGGTGCTTCTGTCAACACCTATAAAGGTGCCAGTAAGAGCCAACAGCTTTAAAAATAAGCATTTCAGACAAATAAATATTCAAGTGATCAAAGCAAAGCTCCCCTGTTTTTGCTTTTATCCTAAAGCCATTCCTTCCTCTTCTTATAAGATTGCTTTAAAAGGGAACTTTTGAAATCTAATAAAGGAAAGGTTGCTGAGCATTGATTCAACGAGTATTCACCAGCCATCTACTATGGGCTCCTCAGTGCTCTAAGTACTATGGGGATGCAGTAGATTTATAACACGT